GGGGGGGTGGGGGGGGGGATGATGTGGTCGTGGGCGGCTCAGCAGCTGGGTGTTGTCCGGGTCACACCACGTGCCTAACAGACGTCCCGTGTCCAGCTGTGGCCCCGGGGCTAAGGGCAGGAAGCTCGACATTGGTCCAAGCGCAGCCGGAATGCTGTGGGAACGTTTGTGTGAGTGTGGAGAAGGTCTGGCTCACAGGAGGCCGACAGTTCCCGTGTGGCAGGTTTTCTCCCTGAACTCTCCCCCGCCCCCTCTCAACAGACACACTTAACTCATCACTACCTCACCCATCGTGCCCTTTGGCTGGGCATGTCCTCACGCAGCACCCTCCTCCACTATCACACACACACACACGTACGACGCATATGCATGCAAAGACATGAGCACATGGCTTCAATCAAACAGGGACACATGGCCCCCCGTAAAAAGGTGTGATGGAAATTCAAAATGATGGCACTTATCCACACTTTGTGCCTCTTAGCACACTGATAATTGCAAACACCTGCACCCCCTCCCCACGCACACCCCCCTTCAAAGCAGGGCCACACTCAGATAGCTGGAGGGGTCCACTATACCTGGGCAGAGCAGAGCAGAGCAGAGCAGAACAGAACAGAGCGCTACCACATGGCTGAGTGGTGAGGTGTTTAACATGTCCTTCTGCTGTCAGCCCACCACGACTTCCCCGTGGCATCGAGCGCTGATTAAAGACGCAGCCCGAGGCTCCTCTCTGTTCTAATCTGTTGGGAGTTAATGCCACTGGCACTGTGAACACTGACTGAGCAGCAGCGGAAATCCTCCATCATGATGATGATGATGATGATGATGATGATGTCTGTTATGGGTTTGATTACTTTTATTTACTGCCTTAAGTTGGACATTGTTGAATAATGATCAACATAGCTTAATGCCACGATACTACACATTTTATTTACATATTTTTGTATCAACAAACTCCTGGAAGTTTAATTTAATTCACCATGTCCTCTTACCTAAAAAATTACTCTTTGACTTTTCCTGCAGATCTCTGCGTGTTTAATATGTTAAAACCTCTGCTCTCTCAGTGTAAAAACTCAGTTTCTTTACATGCCTTAATGTACTGATTTGAGCACTTTGGAGACTGCAATGCCCCTTTCCGCTACTAGATGGCGTCAGTGACCATAAACCGCCAAAGTGACACTGCCTACAGGGGGTCTCAGTCTGACAGCATGCTCTGAGCTCCGTGCGGGATTGAATTGAAAGCTGCTGTGACTCAAGTCTCCGGTTCGTGGCTGATTATTTGCAGCGTGTGAGCGTGTAAAGCTTTTTTTTTCTGTGCTCAGATCCTACAAAGAGATGTGGATTTGGTCTTGTTCCTATTAATAACCACCTCGTTTATTTAACATATTGATCAATAAGCAGTGGATGATCTCAGTTTTCAACAGCTCTTTCTTAAACTTGGACAAACGTCAGTGGTTAATTGTGCGCAGGAACTTGTGCAACAAGTCTTCTTCAGAAAGAACTTCATCACAAAGTTCCTGGCAAACTCTGGTGCCTTTTACGCACACAGCTAAGCCCGTTCTTATCTGGTAAAGCCTAACCAACAATAGTTCACAATACAAAGTGCACTACATCCTGCCTTAATAAGACCAGAAGCACATGTCGTAATTGCATCTTTACAAATTTATTTGTCTTCCAAAACGAAGAACAGCATAAGAGCATTGTGACATATCTTTGGCATCACAGAGTTTTAAAAAAAAGAAAAAGACAATTCATTTATATAAAAATGCAGTGAAGTGACTTCCACAATACAAATCTCATTTCAATATGAACTTTACTCCCTTGTAAGCTGTACAAATATAGTGCATACTCTTCCCATTTTACAAGACAAAAAAAAAAACAATCATATCCAGAACAATATTTCTAACATTACACAGAAAAAAAAACACATACTATTAAGTGTCATTTTAAAGTCTATATGGTCCTTTTTCTTTACCACGGTCTCCACACTGAGTCTGTGTTGCCTGACGGGGCTCCCGGTGAAACTGCAGCCGGCAAAGGCACTGGTGTGCTGACGTTGTTGGCGTAAACGGGAATGACCGGGCCATTGGGCGCAAAAGCCGCATTGGGAATGAGGAATGCGAACTGTCCATCTGTGGCAGGCACGATCTGGAAACCGCCGTACACTTTGGTGGCGTCTGACGGTAAACTCGCGGGCGAAGAGGCTCCTTTACACGGGACTGCGTTCATGGGCAGGACCTGCGGAGGCGAGTTGGGGATCTGCACCACGGACTGGCTGAAGGACGGGTGCGTTGGCCCGCCGGCGGAGGGCATCTGGTGCTGATGCTGGTGCTGGTGCTGATGCTGGTTGGGATAGTTCATGGCGTTGATCTGGGTCATGCAGTTGGCCAGGTGACCGAGCAGCCGCGTCCTGACCTCGGTATTGACGCCTTCGCAGGTGGACAGGAACCGAGTGACTTCGTTCATGCACTCACTGAAACCCGCACGGTATTTGCCCAAGACGGTGGGGTCTGTGTTCAAAGCAGCTGCGGAAAACACGAGCAAGGACAGATTTAGTTCGGATGCTGGGACGTAGTTTCGTAAAAAGCTGATCGAGTGAATTCGCTCCTGAGCGCGGAGTTCTAGCAAAGAGGATGAGACTCACCGGTCATCTGAGCTCTCTGCAGGTTCCGCAGATGCTTCACAGTCATCTCCAGGATGTCTGCCTTCTCCAGTTTGGAGTGTCTGGAGCTCTGAAGACATGAGACATGAACACGTTTAGAGTCGCGTCCTCAGCAGCTTTGCCATCGTTGACAGGAACAGTTTTTTTTAAGTTGCGCGTTTGACGACAGAGTGAATACTTACGTCTTTTTTGAGCGCATCCAGGATGAGAGTTTTCAGCTGACCCAGGCTCTCGTTGATTCTGGCTCTTCTTCTCTTTTCCATAATCGGCTTTGATGACTGAAGATAAGAAAACGGAGACGTTTAACTACTGTGCGTCTGTCATTCTCCGTGCGTAAAACACACTTTTACGCACGGCGGCTTCATGCTTTGGAGCTCTTTGTTTTGAAAAATGACATGCATCGGGGTGGCACGTACAGAGGAAATTCTGAAAAATACTGACCTTTCTGTGTTCTGATGCTGTCTTGGGTTTGTCGGGGGTTGTGTTCATGCTTGCCGGGGTGGCAGCAACCGGGGAGGAGGAGGTCTTTTCCATCATATCGGCAGGCATCTTTTTTATGGAAATATCCCAGGAAAATACAGGAAAATACGGTCCACCGGTGTAACGGGGAGTTTGAGGGATGTTTTCTGATTTCTTGTTTCAAAGAGTACCCTCGACCACAAGGGGGAAAAGATCCTGAGATGTGAATCAAGTGTAAATCCGTCAGTGCGCGGCGCAGGAGCGGCAGCAGAAGTGAACAGGAGCGCAGTCAGAATCTCTCTGTTGGTCTCTCCGCGTGTGGCTTGTATTTATATCTCTCACTGCACGCGAACGGCTCGTGTGAAACTTCCCAAACTTTCTTTCCCACAGTAACTTTCCACCAATCAGAGCCAGAGACACGCGGCCCGAGGGAGGACGGCTCGTGGTCGGCGCCCTCCCATTGGTTGTTTGGCTGCCGAAGCTGGCGGCCAATGGCGCGCGTCCCGGGTTGAGGGCACAGCCAGGGAAACTGTCTTCAGTCTTCAATCATCACAGCGTTTACATATTAACAGTGGAGCCGCTGACTGGGCAGCGCCACCAGGCGCGGGCAGAGGGACTGGGTTTTATCTGGCAGGCAAGTGATAAGTCCACAACACTGCAGTGTTTCCCAAGGTCCGTTATCCAGGTTGAAAAAAAAAGATCTAACACCTCAATATATGACTTTAGAAGAAGAGAAAAACTTTGTCAAAAAAACTCATACCACCTCACGGTGGGCTTTACAGGACACGGTTTTCACTGGTTTGACTTGTTCATAATGCAAGAGGAAAAAAGTTGCTGATTCAAGAAACTAATAAATGTCAACAACAATAATAAAAAATATATATAAATAGAACTGCATGTGTGTGTAGATGCAGAGATATCCTTTGGAAATGACTTTTTCAGTGTAGTGACTGTAAAACACAACGACCACTCATGTAGTGACTGTAAAACACAACGACCACATTCACTCTCTGACTTCATTGAATGTAAAGATTTTTATTTTATTACCTCAGACTGAGCCTCTCAGAAGGTCAACTTTCTTTACTCGATAACCACACAGTTCATTGATAGTTGGAAACTAACAGATGTATTTCTTTTTAAACACAGTGAGGTGAGGAATATTCAATTCTTAACTTTACCAAAATACTACACAGTGATAAGTTTTAACTTCATCCTGAAACATTAAGGGCATAAATAAAAGTTTAAATGCAGAGAAAGTGATCGACTCCCAGTGATAATCCCAGTTTCTGTTTTGGTTTCTATAAAACCAAACCTCAACTAACAAAACAACGTCCGGCAATTAAAAATTTAAAAAGTATAGGAGAAGACCATCCATCACACTCGGATTTCCAGGAATTTCTAGATTGAGATTAAACACTTTAACGTCCTCAGAGGAGGGTGAACTCAGATGAAATAACGCGCACACACTCCAGCTCCATGTCAGTTTCTAAGTCTGTGGTACAAAAGTGTTTGGCATTGAATCATGTGTCGCTGTTGTGAATGTGGAGCACGTGCCAGGATGTTTTATGAGCGCAGTGGTTGGAGGTTTGGCTGCCGGGCTGCCGGGGGGCCGCCGGGCCCGGGAGGGAGGGAGGGGGG